GAAGGATCGCACTTGCTGGGTTTGAAATGCAGTCTAAGGAGGGCCGCTTGCAGCCTTTCAAACCACTGCCTAGGAGCCTGCTTCAGGCCATAGAGTGCTTTATGCAGTTTACACACAAGAGAGGAATCTGAGCTGACAAAGCCAGGGGGTTGATCCATATAGACTTCTTCATGAAGAAGCCCGTTCAGGAAAGCATTGTTAACATCAAGCTGCTGAAGAGACCATTTGTGGGTGAGAGCAATGGTCAGAATGAGTCTGATTGTAATTGACTTTACAACAGGAGAGAAGGTCTCATTGAAATCACACCCTTGCTTCTGATGAAACCCTTTTGCTACAAGGCGTGCCTTGTACCTGCTGACAGAGCCATCAGGATTCTCCTTGATACGAAACACCCACTTGCAGCCTATAGACTGCCTATGAGGAGGAAGGGGAACAAGAGTCCAGGTGTTATTGCTACTCAGAGCATCAAATTCAGACTGCATAGCCTCTTTCCACTTAGTATATGCAAGAGTCTGCTTTACAGTCTTGGGTTCTGTATGAGTGAGTAGCACCTTTGGTTGCACAAAGCCAGTTTTAGCTCTTGTGACCATAGGATGTTGATTAACAGGTTTGGAGCTAACTGCTATAACATTAGGAGGTAGGAAGCATGGTGTAGGGGTAGCTGTTAGAGGTTTTGAAGGAGATGCCATAGAGGACAGCTGAGAGGGAGAAGAAAGACTTGTTACAGGGTCAGTAAGAGAGGGAGAGATGTCCCCTCCTAGACTTGTAGAAGGAGAAGAACTGGAGGGAATAACAGGGGCAGGTAAGTTATTAGAGGAAAAGGGGACAGCTGTTAGTGGCATAGGCTTGGGAAGAGGGATGCTGGAAAACAGGGAGGATAGAGATGATGAAGGTGTCTGACTAGTAGGTGTATTGCCATTTTGGGTAGGAGAAATAGGTGGAGAAAATAGCTCTAGATAGGGAAATCTGGATTCATGGAACAAAACATCTTTGGATATATAAAGCTTGCCACTAGGGGAAAGACATTTATAACCCTTATGAGAGTTGGAATAACCCAAAAACAAGCATTCATGGGACCTGAATTCCAGCTTGTGCGCGTGATAAGGTCTCAGAAGAGGGAAACAAGCACAGCCAAACACCTTCAGAAACTTGTAGTCAGGAGCAATGTGAAACAGAAGAGTGTAGGGAACCTGGAATTGAATAGCTGAGGAGGGAAGTCTGTTGATGAGAAAGACAATTGTGGTGAAGGCATAATCCCAGTATGTTAATGGTAGAGAGGCTTGACTTAACAGAGTCAAGCCTAGATCCACAATGTGTCGATGCTTCCTTTCCACCACTCCATTTTGGTGGTGAGTATGAGGGCAGATAACTTTGTGCACGATGCCAAGGTCAGAAAGAAACTTGTTGAAGGGAAGAAATTCTCCACCCCAATCTGACTGAATAGCTTTGATAGGAAAACCAAATTGTAGTTCCACAAGGGACTTAAACTGCTTGAAGACACCAAGTGCTTCAGCTTTGGTTTTAAGCAAATACAGCCATGTGAATCTGGAAAAGGCATTTACAAATGAGATATAGTAGGTAAAGCCTTGTGCTGAAGGTTGAGGAGAAGGTCCCCACAAATCACAGTACACAAGCTCTAAAGGGTGAGAATAAGTGGTGTGTGAGGCAGGTGAATGCAATTTATGTAATTTACCCACACAACAAGCAGAACAGAAAAAATCATGAATTTTATTGCTAAATTTGAGATTACAACTTTGCAACACCAATCTCAAAGTGTTGATATTAGGATGGCCTAGTCTTAAATGCCACACATTGGACAAAGCAGGAGAAACATCAACAGTATTAACAGAAGGTGCAAGTTTGTTTAAAGAAGCTAAGGGCTTAGTGGACACAGCAGATTTGGAAAGGTTGAGCATAGGGAACTCATACGGCCCATCAGACCCCACATGACCAGTTAGCAGAACAACGCTAGATACCTGGCATTTGACAAAGCACGAATCAGTTGTGAAAAGGAAGTATACCTGATTGTCACGACAAAACTGACTCACACTTATGAGATTCTTGGTAATTGATGGCACATGTAAGAGATTATTAAGTGTGAGAGGTGTGTGAGGGTGATTTTGAGAAAGAAACTGACTAGAACCAGTAGAGTTGATGAGAAGACCTTGGCCATTGCCTATGTAGATTTGTTCATGACCCTCAAAAGGTGTAGCCTGCTGCAGATTATTGGCATCATTGGTGACATGATAGGAAGCTCCAGAATCAGGATACCAGGACATAGTAGAGGAAGAAGGAGTGGCATTGGCAATGAATGTGCTGGGAGCAGAATAGGTAAGAGCTGGCCTTGCTTGAGCAGTTGGAGGTCGTGTCCATACATTAGCAGGGAAATGACCATAGGGCACCTTAGGAAACTGCCAAGGGGCAGCATGATAGAGACTGCTACTGTAAGAGGGAGGCTGAAAGTTCTGATTAAACCTATGCCAGCAATTTAAAGCTGAGTGTCCAACTTTGGAGCAAACTTGACACTGAACTGTAGAATTTCTGCCACCTGAACCTTTTCCACGACCACCTCTGTTGGATCTGCCACCTCTAAAGTTGGAATACTCAGGCTCAGCATGAGAGGGAGCTACTTGTGAGTGAGCAGATTCAGTGCTGCTAGATTGAGGATTTTCAGGGGAAGCAGTTTGAGGTGAAACATGTGTAAGATTGAGAGATCCAAGATTTGGCACAGTAGTCTTCTTAAATCTGTTCAGCCTCAACTCATGTGCAACAAGGAGAATTTCCACTTCATCCAAATCCATATCACCAAACTTACTCTCAACAACAGAAACAACCGGAGCATATTCGCTAGGAAGTCCCTCAAGAATCACATCAATGTGATGAGAGCAGGGAATAGGATCTCCAATTGAGGCTAGAGCATCCACAGTAGTGCGAATTTTCAACAAATAGTCAGAAACAGATTGAGATTCCAGAGTTAGGGCACACAATTCCATATGCAACTGGCGTGCACGAGCACGAGTTTGCTTCTGGAAATAGCTGAATAGACGATCCCAGAGCTATGCGAATGAGAGCATCCAAGGACACGCGACAGAATTTCGCTCGAGAGTGTGGATTGAAGCCAAGATAGAAGCAACTGATCTTTCTGAAGCCAAACAGAATATGCAGGATTAACCATACCTTGGCGACGAGCATCATCGTCCAAAAATTTGGACGAAATCCGAGTGCACACCACGAGATCCGTGAGATTATGCGCGTTGATGTAGGGTTCCACCTGTTGACGCCAGAGATAAAAGTTTTTCTCATCGAGTTTGTGCGCGATTTTGAGAGAGAATTGGAGATGACGCATTTCAGCAGTCGCCGCCGTGAACGACGAGGCCGGCACTGTGACGTTAGCGGAAGACGACGATCCCGGTGACGCCATGGATCGAGAATGGCTTAATCTGATACCATGATAGAAGACATAGCAGAGATAGAAAATATAGGGAAACTTTTCATTTCTGTTATTTGAACTGCAAAAGTTAGTTACAGATAGTGCACACAGTTGCATTTATAAGGCAATCTGTGTGACCTGCTACAGCAGGTAGGCAAGCATACAGGACATGACAAGTGCCAGTCATAACAAGCTTAAAAACAAGGCTTAACACTTTTATTATTTGCCTTACTCTAATAGGTTAACATACTCTGAATAACTGTTTTGAAGAGCAAGACTCTACCCGCCATAGAGGAGGGATCCTTTCCAAGCAGAAAGCTTAGCAATAACACAGTCAACCAACGGTTGAAGGACAACAACTTTCACTCTACCTTTAAAAATAGGGAGCCCCAAATAAAGAAAAGGTAAAGATCCAATGGTGAAACTGGTAATCCTCTTGATCTTACGAAGCTTTCTAGGAGACATGCCACCCGCATAAATGATGGATTTGGTACTGGTAAACATCTGGTCAGAAACCAAAGAATAAGAAGTGAAAAGCTTAGAAAGGTGAGAACATGAGAGGGAAACTTCACATTCATGGTGGCATTAATCAATTCAAGTCTCCCATCCACGGTCGATTTAGAGATGTTTCTGCTTAGGACATCCTCGGCCAGACAGAAAAGAAGCGGGGACAATGGATCACCCTGACGCACTCCCCGAGTGCACTGAAAAGAGCCATTAAGGGAGCCATTGATAGAAACCAAAAGAAAAGTTAAAGATAGAATGACCCTGATCCAGTTGCAGAAGGTTGGGAAGAAACCAAACATGTTGAGAACACGAAGCAGAAAGTTCCAGTTTAGAGTATCAAACGCCTTGGAGATATCCACTTTCATGGCCAAGTTACCACCCTTTTTTCTTTTGAGCAAGAAGATTTGCAACCTCAGAAGCTAAACAAAGACAATCTTTTATGTTTCTACCCCGGATGAAACCTCTTTGCTCGTGAGATACCAAGAAAGGCATTAGGGGAGCCAACCTGTCAGCAATAATTTTTGTGATGATTTTGAACTTGAAATTGGCCAGAGCTATTGGTTTGTAATCATTCATAGAGACAACGTCATTAGATTTCAGAATGAGAATGATGTTTTTAGAATTGTACTTTGGAAGAATCCAGCTATCCCTGAAGAGCTGTAAAACAGAATTACATACATCATCCTCAACAATGCACCAGTAAGTTTGAAAAATTTACCACCAAAACCGTCAGGCCCCGGAGCTCTCCACTTATTCAAATTGAAAACAACATGGGCAATCTCCTCTCTAGACGGAAGAGCAGTGAGAATAGCATTCATGTCCGAATGACAAGCTTTGGAATCACCTCTTCAATTTCTGAAACATTATTGGAACCTGCAAGGCAGAAAATGTTAATGAAAAAATTGACAGCATGTGATGCAATCAGATCCAGATTAGCGATGACGCTATCCCCATCATGAAGGAAGGAAACATTGTTTCTTGCCCCCTTAATTTTAGCCATTCTATGGAAGAATCCCGTATTTCTATCACTGCCCAAGTGCCAGTTCAAGCAAGCCTTTTGATGCTAAAACAACTCCTCTTTGGCCAGGGCCATTTCCAAGTCGTTCTGCGCCAAAGACTCTTGAACCCGAAGAGAATCAGTAGGGCCATAATCATTAATAGATTCTTGGATGAGCTTAAGATTATTGGAGGATTGGTGGACCAAATTATGCACATCTCCGAACACGTTTTTGTTCCAAGATTTGAGGCTTGTGTTTAGAATATGCAACTTTTTGTTTAGGACAAACATGGGACAACCAGTAACTTTGGTATTCCAAACATAAGCAATGAAATCCTTGCACCGGCCATGCAGCGTCCACATGTTTTGAAACCTGGATTGAGTGACGAATTTGTGATGAGAAAAAGAAGAAACCAAGAGTTAGAAAATGATCAGACCTGAGTTTCGGCAAGGTACAAGCTTTGACAGAAAAAAGCCTCAGCTAACCACGGGTGATTGCAGAAAAATATGTCCAACTTCCTTTTAACATATTGAGAACCACTACTACGGTTACACCAGGTGAAAAAAGAACCACTGCTGGGGAGATCGGTGAGACAATGCTGAGTAACCCAAGCTTGAAAATCTTCCATGTGACTGTGATTTGGAGAGTAACGACCGCGGTGTTCATGAGAACCGAGAATAGCATTAAAATTACCAAAAATACTCCAAGGGAGATTCGAGTGATTTTGGAGGATGGTTGAAAGGTTGAACCAAAGACGTTTTCGAGCAAGATAACAAGTGGAGGCATAAGTGGCAACAAGCCCAATTTTAGTGGAATCAATGAGAAGGGTAAATGCAACATGTTGATCCGAAACTGAGACAATGGAAGGATCCATATGGTGAGCGCAAAGGCACCAAAGATTTGGAAGCAAATCAGTCCTATTATTAACCGCAAACATTTTCATGCCAATGTTTTTGAGAAAATACTTAGAAAGGTTTATGAGATTCATACATGGCTCAGCAATAAAGCAGAAGTCAGGTTTATTATTGTTGATGAGATTTAAGAGAGCTAATCATGTTGGGGCATTAGCTAAACCCCGCACATTCCAATACAATCACTTCATTGAGAAGGCTTGTTGGTACCAGTTTTGGATTTGGTAGTGTACAAGAACCTTGATTTGTTCTTTTAACTCAATTTCTTCATTTGAGATTTGCTCAAAGCCATCTCGAAGCCAAGGAATTTCGGATCAGGATCAAAATCTTCCACTGAGATATCTTTATCATCATTTGTATCTGTTAATGTCGCCCAGGATTTTTTAAGAAAGTGTTCATTTTTCTGTTGCAGATCTTCAATAGAATCATCCCCATCAGTGGAATGATTGTTTTTTGTTGCGTAAATAAATTACAAATCTTCATAACTTTTATCATTCTCAATGCAAGGAAGGGTATCTGCTGGAATCGAAATAGCATGAGAATGAGTGGCAGCCTCCTCAGAATTAACGTCATCAACAGGAATAGGTTGAGTTGAAATAGGAGGAGGTAAAACAGGAACCAATATGGGAGTTTTAATGACACCACTTGTCTCACCAAGGACCCTTTGAGTGTGTTGTGTTTTCAATCCAACCAAAGGAATGGATGCAGCCTTTTTTGGTCTGTCTGGTTTAGGTACAAGGGGAACTATCTGCGGTTTGGCTAGAGACTTGTCACCATATGCACATATCTTCTTTTTATAAGTCAATGTGGAATGTCCAATACCATTACAGAAGGTTCAAAAATTCGGCAATCTCTCATACTCAATCTCAACAAAGAAGGCGAATCGAGTCCTTTCCACAAGGATTTTGTAAGTAAGATGAGCTGTATACGGTGTCCAGATGACATCATCCAAGGTCAGGACATCCAGCCTCTTGTTGTACTCCATCAAACTTTCTGGAATGGCCTGTTTGACCTTCCACCTCTTCGCATATGGTCAGTAGCCACAACACACTGCATCTTTCGCTCACAGATGTGAGGGAAGTGCTCGTATATCCAACACTTCATAAATAAAAACCAATAGATAAATACACCCAAATAATTAAAAAAAACATCTAGTAAATTATAATATACATGTAACAAGCTCAGGTAACCAGCAAGTTGCCTGGTGTCAGGACGAGATGCAACATCAAGAATTGTATACAACATCGTCAAGGCCGCCACTCCCCAAGCCCAACAAGGAGTGTCAAGGGCGCTGAATAGACATGTATCGAACATCTATATAAACTCCGGACTTATCTGCAAAGAGAGTACATGCCACTAGATGTAGCATGTAAGCCCTAGCGACAGCCTAGTACCTCTCTGCCCCCACAAGCACCGTATAAGTACTCCTCAACTAAGACATTCGAAGGTGAAATCTCCGAGTCTCACCTAACTCCTTCAGCACCTCCAACTCATCAACCTCCAAAGCATCCACAACCATGCGCACCACCGTCGCCTGGTCCCTATATACTGGTATGAAAAACGTACCAGCAATCGGAATGTGAAAGAGGGCATCCGCATCATCTAAAGTCACCGTCATCTCCCCAAATAGAATATGGAATGATGGTGTCTATGGGTACCACCTCTCAACAAAAGTTGATAACAAGGAGGCGTCCAACATCGTCAAGTAGCATCCAGCAAAGTCCACCAGATGGAAATCCTCAACTATCCTCCTCACCTGCTCATGCATCGGATTCGAGCAACAACACCGGATCTATCGGTGGTCCATCCCACAATAGAACCGTCCATTCCTCTAGTCCTCATTGCAAAATTTAAAAACATAAGGAAAAAAACATTTTTGCAGACTTGGTTCCTCTTTGAAGATTTATCTTATGGTTTTTTATTGATTTTAAATATTTTTTCTGGTTTTATTGACAGATGCGAGTCATTTTCTTTTTGCAGACCTGGTTCCTCTTTAAAGATTTATCTTCTAGTTTGCTTTCGGTACTAATATGTGGTATGGCATGGTATTGATGCTAAGGTTGAAGTGCAACAAAGATGTACAAGATATTCAAGGCGTAAGATCGAATGGAAACATGGAATTTAGGCTTAGGAACTTTGAAGTTTTGTTTTTTAGGAACCTATTTGTAATCTTGAATGGATAACAACATGAACCTTGATAATTTTATTGTAGTTTTGGTTCTTTATAATGAACGACGATTCTAAATGATGTATGAAGTAGTGTGAAAGTAATTGAAACTTCACACGAACTTTGATGAATTTATTTACTTGAAACTTCGATGGTGAATATATCTTGAATTGAATTTGAATGAAGAATTTTGGTCTTGAATATTTTTGATGTAAATGGCTGTTGTATGTTTTGGATGATGTTTGTATTGGTTCATGAACCTTGGAATAAATTTTCCATATGTTAATTCTTTAAGAAAGTGCAAAAGACTTGATTCTTGAATGAAATCCGAATGAAACTTTGAATGAATTGAATTCTTATTCAAACAAAATTTGAAATTTCCTTTCCCTCCATTTTAAAGGTTGAATCCTCGTTCTTTTCTCCAAATTCTTGCAAACAACTTTGAAAGAGAACCATGATATAAAAGTCAAACACTCCCTAAAACAATGGTCAAAAAGTCACCCTTGCCTTAATAACTTGCATAAACTAGAATGAATCAATGAAATTCAATACATCTTATACCAAAAAGAATGTCATATGGATCACACAAGACTCCTTCCATGAAATAACTTAACTGATTACCATATCGAGAAATAAATTCCAATCCAACTGTTAATTGTCAGACAAAGAGGATGCATCTCAAGTAATAGAGGAACCATTACTCCTATTATGAATAAAACCCGTGTGTTGGGATAAATAAGTCCATGATGATAGTATGACCAACCCTAAAATTTCCTCTGCTAATCTCACACTTACGGAGATAAATTGCTTGAACTAAGAACCACAAAGAAGTCGTTGTATGTGAATCAACAACTACATCTTGTTGAAACCCTTAGCGCAATGGTTAAGAACCTAATTCTTTGACAAACATAGGGAAATAAACCCTAATCCACTTCTTGGTGCATTTTAGTGGAGGAAAACTTTGTAGCTTGATGAGAAAGGAAATCCACAATAACCATGAACACAAAATCCTAATTCAGGGAACCAATTAGATGGAGGCCTGTAATCCATCTTCAAGCAATGAAACCCATATCTCCTAATGATCTTTGAGAAATTGGAATAGATAGAAGAACATGTGTCTTAATGGGAATGGTCTTGATGATTGACATCTCAAACTAGTATTGATCGATCAATGCATCTCTTTCTTGATAGGGGAAACTCTAAATCACTGATGAACTTGATCCCTCAGTACAAGAACCAATGTCATGCATGTATGCATGATAATGAAGTATATGAGCCACTAAGGATTAAACTTAAGAAGGCAAATTTTGGGGTGCAACAATGCACATGACCTATTAGCGCATCACAATGTAACAACAAGATATGTGGGGGTGTGATATGGGTGGTAGACCTCTAACATATGCAAAGTGTCTTTGGTTCATATAGCTTGATACACCAATTTCGCTATACGTAAAGTACTATTATTCTAGGATTAGTTCATATAGCTTGCTACACTAGTTTGATGCATCACATCTATGATGTTAATCCAGGGAAAAAATTAGTCTTCTTTTGAACTTTTGAAATATGTGGGGTTTGTCGTAAATTTTGATTATATTTCAAAAGTTTAAAATAAATTCTTTCTCAATTTTTAAGTGACAAATATTAGAAAATAGTTTTAATAAAAATTATTATTATTTAATTTATAACAAAATTTAATTTAGTCAATAATTATTTTATTCAAACGTTGACTTGACTTAATCAAAGTCATTAATCCTATTTATCTTTCTTACTTATATAATAGACTCTCGTACTTTTGGACAGATCTAGAAAAATACAAAACCTTAACGATAATCTGACAAAACCTCTTTTATACTTTTCTTCTTTGTTCTTTTACTTTCTGATTACATCTACCAATTATCTAAAAGAGTATTTCTTATTTTTCTGATACCTCAGATTTATATTAAGAATTTGGTAGTCAAATTTCTACAACAATTGGTATGTCATTGTTTGCGTATGGCTTGAGAATTTGGTTTTAAAGACCTAGTGTATTGTTTTGACTTCGCCTCTACTATTAAGCTATCTCATAGTTTGTTAATGTTTGACACCACTATGTTGTGCTTTTTCACAATATTAAAGAGTTTCTTTTTAGAGAATGACGAGTTCAAATATTTTATATTGTTAGGCAGGAAAATGTTTGTGTTGATTATCTAACAAAAACATGGACCGATAATGATACGGCGTACCAGTCTTTTGCAGAGCCTCATGTAGAAATCATCACTCTCATTTCCTGCTAGTTGTTTCTAGT